TGGGTCTACCCTTTTTGGCAGGCTTCGTCGTGGTCTCTGTATTCTCTCTCTATCTCTCTCCTCTCATAGGGACAGTGACGTGAGCTTACACTTTTTGGCAAGCCTCGCTGCCGTCCTTGTATTCTCTCTCTCTTTCTACTTTCTCCCTCTTCTTCACAAACGGCAGCTAAGCTTTTGTCTGTGTGTCCTCTTCTCCTTCCACTCTCTTCCTTTTCCTCTCTCTCTCTCCTTTCATATACGCCAGCTAAAGCCATCGCCTATGTTCTCTTCTCTTCTCTCTTCACAGACGGCAGCAGGCCACCGTTTGTGCTCTCTCTCTCTCTTCTTTCTTCAAAGATGGTAGCTAAGCCACTATCTGTACTTTCTCTTTCTCTTTTGGCTTTCTTCACAGATGGTAGTAAGCCGCCATCTGTGTTTTCTCTCTCTCTCCCTTCTTTCTTCACAGATTGCAGCAAGCCGTTGTCTGTGCTCTTTCTTCTCTCTCTCATCACAGATGGCAGCAAGCCGCTGTCTGTACTCACTCACCTTCTTTCTCTCTCTTCACATACGGCAACAACCACTGCCTGTGTCCTCTCTCCCTTCTTTCTTCACAAATGGCAATAAAGCCATCGTCTGCTGTGTTCTCTCTCGCTCTTCCTTCTTCACAGACAGCTTCAAGTTGTCATCTGTGTATTTTCTTCCCTTTTCTCCCTCCTCTCCTTCTCTCTTTTCCTTTATTGTTCTTCTTTGAAGGATCTGGGTGAAAAACATACCAGCCTTCTCTCCCTTTATTTTCTCTTTGATCATGCCTATTTTGCAGGACTAGTTGAAAGACATACTAGCCCTTCGTTCCTCTTTTTTATCTTTCTCTTTACTACCTCTCTGAAGGATTAGTTGAAAGACATATTAGCTCTTCGTTTCACTTCTCTTAATTTTCTTTCTAAAAGACATACTAGCCCTTCATTCCTCTTTTCTTTCTTCTTAAAAATATATGTTATCTCTGAAGGATCTGGGAGTAAAACAATCCAGCCTTTGTCTCTCTTTTTCTTCTTTATCTAAAGAGCTAGGTGAAAGACAAAGCAGCGTTCGTCTCTCTTTTTCTTGCTCTATCTCCTTCTCGTTCTTTCTCTTCTTTCTAATGTTTGTCTTTCAACTAACCCCTTTTTCTCTTCTCCTTTATGGTAAAATATGTACTAAGAGTCCCTTATTAAGGAGACGTCGTAAGGCTGTCGAATCAACACGAACCCAATCATGTTATTTTCCATTTTCTTTGGGGTACACATGTACGTATGCACTTACCCTATGACAAGGTGGGGTCCTTAGACCTACTTGTCTGTATTCTAATGTGTGTGTATGTGTGTGTTTGTAGGTAGGAAGAAATAAGTCAACGGAGAAGATTTCGAACCGGGCCATATGCCAAGGGCATTCTACTTGATCTAAGACGGGGCCCATGCGAGTTAGCCCGAGCGTGTCACAAATCCAAGTGAGGTAAGTCCTGCCTCATGGCTAAATTCCTCTCTCACCGGTTGGTATTTTTACCCGCGTATTCCTAACAAGGTTCACGACAGAGCGGTCTCTAGTCTCGGGTCCATCTCAAACCTGGAGCCACGCCACCAGGTCATCTCGACGTAAGGGCGAGGTCAAGGCATCTAACTAGATAGTTGATACAAAAAGCAACAAGAAAAGTTTTGTAACCTCAAAGAAGTAAGTTAAGCTTAATTTGTTGGTATTTTTGGTTTGAAAAATATTTATATGTATTTCAAAACAACACTATAGTTTATTCTTTGCTTTGCATTTGGTTTTATTGTTCTTTCTTAAATTGCTTTGTAGAGAGAAAAAGATGTGGGTTTGAGTCCCACATTGAAGAGGAGAGGATTTGTTGAGTTGTATTTAAAAGCACGCATTCTCATACAATATACTTTAAGTACAAAGGAGAGAAGGTGTGTGCAAGGGTGCTTGATGGACAAAAAAAAAATGCAATCTTATATTCTCTATGCATGTGTGTAGCCATTGAATACAACTTGTAAGCAACAAAAGGCCCTCAAACATGTATTTTCTCTCTCCTCCTTTGTACTTAGAATATATTACATGGGAATGCATGCTCTTAAATACAGCTCAACAAACTCTCTTCTCTTCAATGTGGGACTCGAACCCACATCTTTCTCTCTCTACAAAGCAATTTAAGAAAGAACAATAAAACTAAAGGCAAAGCATTTTAGGAAAGAACAATAAAACTAAAGGCAAAGCATTTTAGGAAAGATTAAAGTATAGTGTTGTTTTAAAATACATATAAGTATTTTCCAAACTAAAAATACTAACAAATTAAACCTAACTTGCTTCTTTGAAGTTACAGAAGTAGCCCTGTTGCTTTTTGTATCAACAATCAAATATACTTGGAGCATTCTGTAAAGCGATATCCATCATGGATTTCTTTCTCTATTAGAAAACTATGGATTTCTTTCTTTCCATGAAAATCAACTTATACTTGGGTTTTACATTTTATTGTTGTTCTGAATTGGATAGGTTGTTCCTTCTGCTACATTATACTTAAAACATTTTAATATGCTTAAAGAAAACATCATTTTAAAAGTATATCCTTGGTGGGTGTAAAATTCAGATCATTACAAATCCATTTTATTATTATTATTATTATTATTGGAAGAGTATAGCCTTTTTTTAAAAATTATTTGTTATTATGTTATTATTCTACTTGTGTTATTCACAATCTAGAGGATCATGGCTTGGAACTTTAGGCTATACTTTGTGAAAGTTTATCTCAATTGTGAAAAGTGCACCGTCGAGATCACTGTTGTAGTGTATCACTGAACAAGGAACAATTTCATTTGTCAAAAATCTTACTCCTCTTACATCTAAGGCGTTGATGATTTCATTCATCCACTAGATTTTACCCACGTCCTAGTTGTAGGGATGTGATTATGGCCGTTGGTTCCATGGATATGTCTATTGGTAAATTGGGGTCATCAAATTAGTCAGTAGTGCTTGTCAGAAATTTGCAAGGCCACATGAATGAGTAGCTGCCATGGGATTACGGTCTAGTCAACCTGTCCCTTTTCCGGCTCAAGCTTCATACAATTTTTTAAAGTATTTAACTTTTTAATTTTAATATGCAATAATAATCACATAGAGGCCAACTGGTAATGTAAAAACTTTCTACTTGAAAATTGTATGTTTATGGATAAGAAATGTACCATAGCAATTGCTTCAGGCACATAACCTGTTTGCTGAACTTTCTTTTTATTGAATATATGATGAGCTTCATTCACATTCTTCAAAACTTGTCCGCGTATTGCAAATTGCTTATTGATAGGGGTGCTTAGTGCTAACTTCATTTGACTGACATGTGAAAAGCATTACTCAAAAGTTTCAATTTTTTTGAGGTGTTTTTGTTGGGATGATAGGCTATTCTTGCTTAGTAGCCAAAGCATTAGATCTGCCAACTGGCCATGCCGGTTGGCATGGCTCACTTCGGGTTTCACTTCGAACCTCATGCCAAGCCTTAGTTCGGGTTTCACTCTAAGGCCTGCTGAACTAGACATATTCGGCCTGATCAATTTTGGGGCTAGACCCGAGCCAGCCCGGGTTCAGCCCTATGCAGCCTGAGAAAATTGACCTTTCTACAGCCTATATATTTTATACTTAGTCCATTTCCTATACGTTTCCTATACGGCATATAAAGTTATATACGGCACTAACTATTGTCAATAGCTATAGGCTAATTCATATTATCTTAGAAATTATCAAGGTCTGGACCGAAGCTTCAGCCTTGCTCAACTTGGCCCACGTCATATTCGGGTTGGGCTGAGGCCTCAATGATATAACTTGGGCCAGGGACGAGCCACAACTTTATCCATTCTTTTTTTTTTACTGATAGGTAGCAAGAAAAATTCAGGCAAAGCTAAAGCAAGGTCCGTCAGCCCCAATCCTTGCCCTTTGGCAGCTTATTTGAGTATTATTACTTTTTCTGTCGTTATCAATGGCATGCCTTGTAGCTTTTTCAGTAGTTCCTCTGGACTCAAGCAGATGTCCCACTTCCTCAACTCGCCTGTTTATGCTGAAGAAGAGCTTAACTAAAGTGTCAAATCAACCTACAATCGAAGCATTCATCACTCAGTCTCCTGGACTTTGCCACCGGTCTCCATTTCGCACTACATGAGCCTAGTCAAAGCCTTGTATTTTCTAGTCGAAAAGTGAATTGATTGTGTTTGCAAGCGTGAAATTCTTCTCTATTGGTCTCCTCACCATGATCAGTAGTCTCTTACTATTTCTTTCTGCTTCCCGTTTAGAAGCATAATTAGATGGTCTTATTAGAAATTTCTTAAAATGCAGCTGCCATATAGAAATGTCAATGTCATGCTCACATATTTCAGTAACTCCATCTAATCTAAGCTACGCAACTATATTGGGACAGGGAAGTGCAGATAGGATCCAAGATGTCAAGCTTGATATGTTTAGTAACCTTTTGTGAGTCCAGCTGTAAATGATTTTGGTGGTCTCTAGGGAAAGTGAGGGATAGTGGGCAATAGTTCAACTAAAGGCTCTTGAGAAAGGGTTACAACCCTTCACGAGAAATTTGTTTCCAAGAGCTCATAATTGAATCGAACTTGAAGCTTTTAATGGAGATCTTTACTTATTGCAATGGATTGCTTATCATATGGAAGCTCTCTAGGAAACTCTGTAATGCCTATGAATAATTTATGCTGAAAGTTTGAGGGAGACATTCCAAACAAGCAATTGTTCAGCATGTCCAATGGTCAGCATTATCCAGTTTTTGGACCTTAGAATGTGAATCATCAGAGAATATTGGCTGATCCATTGGTCAATGACTTGATGAAAGAAGCACTTAGGATATTACAGTTGCTTGGGGCCAATGTTATTGCTTGGAGGGCAGAAATACTTTGATTAAAGCAACATTTGCCAATATGCTTCTTTACGATTTCTCTTTGCAAATGTTGTTGGAGGGTAGAGCAAATAGAAAGGAAAATCTGTTGTAATGGGTTCTTATAGGGGCTTAAGTTTAACCTTGTAAGAAGGGCCTAAATGTGATGGTGGTGTCAGCATTAAAAGCCTCGTGATTGAGTAAATGATTGTGGAGCAAGGTGATCTCAGCAAAGTATAGGATATCTGGCTCCTAGAGGCTTTGGGGTGTGATGCCCTGTCTTTTATGGTTGCCTCAGGGATGATCAATTTGGGAGCTCTTCAGGGGATCTACATATCAATGAGTGACAGTAGACGCTTTGTGGCATTTGCAGGGACAGTATTTTGACTCTGGATGTGAGGTACGCCTAAATTTTTCCCCCTTAAATTTTCATGTTTTGTCAAAAAATTTGAAGAACTTTGCAAGGCATGTATCTTTGCAAATATTTGGTGAACCACCTGCTAGGTCTGTTCAACACAACGATTTACAACTTTCTCCCAACTCCTAACAATGAATTTGAAAATGTAAAATACCTCATGTTGTCCCATAATATTGCTTCCTCTTCATTCTCTTCTGTCTTTTTGTTTTCTACTGTGTGGCTTCTAGCGGTTTCTTACAATCTTGTAATTGATTTATAAATGAGAAACGTTTATATAGAGCTCTAAACAATTAAACAATTAAATTTGAGCCTACCTCAAAAATTTCAATAGAAGAGTTTTTTTTTATGTCCAAATATCTTCAAATTGATCATCTCGACATCAAGAACTATGGACATAAGAAAAAAATGGATTTCAAGTTTTGGAAATAGTGTATTTTGTAACGCATTTTTTTACCGTCAATTTTTTAGATTTTCAAGTTTTCATAGATATGTCGATCTACACTATTTTTGAAGTTTTAAACTTTATAAAAAAATATAAAAATATAGTTTAAGGTTATCACAAAGATTTTCAATATTGAAACCACATTTCTCGGAACTATTTGAAGGTAAGCTCTAATTTGATTGTTTAGAGCCTAGGCTCTACACTTTTATAAATTAGTGCTAGTTGGGATGTACCTAAAACTTGAAGATTTTTGGATTCCCATCCAAAAACCTTGCCAAATACACTTTGTATTGTTTGGACCATGGTTACCGGAACCGTGGGGGTAAGGCCATGGTTGCACTTTAGGAACTCAATCTCTTGATTTCTCTAAGGGATTTTATATGGAGTTGGGTTAATAGAAATAGGGATATCAATTCTTATAAAATGGGATCTCCACCTACATTATTGTAGGATCCCTCCAAGGAGAGGAGCGATGCTATTAATTGAACTACTACTTTTATCCTCGGTGATATGGATTTCATTTGTTTAGAATAAGTTCACTTGTGGGGCATATCACATCGTGCTACTTTAAAATTATGGTATTGAAAAACTACAATTTAATATCATAGTAAGCCAATTTATGACATTATTTAATGATTTTACTACAATAAATTAGAGTCCTATAACTACGACGGCATTGATAATAAACTAACGTGTATAAAAATGAATCGAGCCTAATTTAATCATACACAATTAATTGATCTCATTTTATGGGTAGTGGAGCTTATATTCTTCCAAGTCAAAACCTAGATCCCAGTGACATAGGATTCACTCTTAGGCATCCTAGAATCTAGCTCCTTAACTTATTATAGGTTAAGAGATCGATCGCAACTCCAAAGAACTTCTAACCTATGTCAATTCGGCATTCCCCAAATTGATTCCGCTCCCGCCTCAAAAAACTATAGTTTGGTAGACAAATCATAAACTTATAGATTGAAAGAAGAAAAGATCTTACATCATCATCTAAAATAATTCTAGTCTCAAATTGTCTCCTAAACTTTTATATTCTAGTCTCAAATAGTCTCCTCTCAACTAGTGAACCCCAACACTGAACTCTCTCCTGCTCTCTCCAATACAATGCCCAACGCCCTCTATCCATCACCCAACACTCAACTCTCACTCTCACCCCAAGGCCCCGATCGATCTCCTGTTTGTGCCGCCCCTCTCTTGATCCCCTATCCACACCTGACAAACATGTGATCTTCCGTGATAACCGATCAACAACCCTCTCTCTCTCTCTTGATGAAGATATCATGCTTTTGGGGGTTTTGATGAAGGGATGTAGAGAGGAAAACTGGGCCAAGAAAGAAGGGGATGAGGAATTGAAATGTGAAGAGAGTTTGGGGTTGGTGAAAAGGGGACTATTTGGTAAGCAGTGAAGGGAATGAGAGGCATTTCCTAAGAGGAATGGATTTGCCTCAGGGTGAACTCCTTGTTTCTTTCTCTAGAGAGAGACAATGAGTTCAGGGTTACTATAAAATTGCATTTTCGAGGATCTACAAATAATATATTTACATCACCCAAAACTTCATGGCATCAATCAGAGACAAAACCCTACATTTCTCTTAATTAGCGCTTGAAAAACTTGTAACTTTTTTTGGAGTGATGAGGTGTTTTTACTTGAAATCCAGAGTAGCCCTTAGTTTTAGTTTTGTCCAAACTTGCCTTTTCCAGAAGAACCTTTCTTCTCAATCATTTTAAAACAACCCAAATGCCCATGCCCAGAGATAAACTTCTGGCCTCCTTTGGAGTCTCTCTCTCTCTCTCCATTATTTATTTGTGAGTTAACAGTAACTCAGCTAGTTTTTGGTCTTGACTGAGTTGGGCAAGTTTTCAGGCCTTTGAACACTGCTTGTAGGCAACCTAGGATTTGGAAATATTTGGAGGTGGGGTGTCGGGGTGAGGCTTAGGTTTGTTAAGCCTTCTGCTCTGCCAAATGTTTAGGTTTAAATGAGGTTAGCTTCAAGCTTTGCAGATGGATTTTAAGGATCAAATTTCATTGAAGATCGACAATCAATTGCGATGGAATGACAATTTCTCAAAACCGGGCAAGAACTTGGCTGAATTTTTGGATCCAAAAATCTATCAAAGTTGATTTTTCACTCCTAATGTTTCTAATAGATAAATCAGGTTAAAATTTTAATGAGGACTCAACTTTGCCACAATTAGCTAAACCTAGGTATCAAATTGAAGAAAGCAAAGAAAAAAAGGGGGATGAATTTTCGCACCCCCTTTAAACTGGTATGTCTACGGTACTTGGGCAAGCACACAAACCTGGTTGAGGCAGCGACTCCTCCAAAAGCTGGCTTGCCCAAGGTTCATACTACTGTATATATATTTTACACCCCAGAGTTTAGGGGTGGTTTTGGGCCCATCAGGAGTAATGCATGTGTCCACTAGGACACCTGCCCGATTGTCCAAACATTGTATCATGTGTACTATCTAGAGCCTGTTCATTCGGTCAACCATAAGTGCGCGTGAATGATTAATTCTTCAGTCTGTTATCTGTTTTGCTGTTTGGTGATTAACTTTCCTTGGCTATGGTCAATGAAGTCTTGGTTTATGTAAAAACTGTAGTAGTGTGGATTGCAAGTAAATCCATTTGAACTTTCTATGCTTAATACAACGACAATTTCTTCAAGAAAGTATATTTTGTGATGTCGTGTTTCTGCAAACTCTCAAATCATGTCTTGATTGATAAAGCACACTGTAAGGCTGTTCTGAGGTCAGGGTATAACTGCAACGATCTTGTGATGAATGAAGAGAAATTTTGAAAACTTAAAAAGGGGGTTGCGTTTTGGTTGCTAATGGTCGCACATGTCAATCTTTTGGCATAAACTATGTGTAAATTATGCCTGGAATGCCAGATTTAGGCGATGTCTCAGTCCTTATGGTTTCCTTTTATGGGGTGTACCAATGCAAGTGGGAAAGAAACAAGAGATTGAGATTGGATGCTGGGTTATGTATATAATGCTTTAACACGTGTCTCTAATTTGCAAGCTATGTTCTTCGGATCACAATAGTGCTCTTTCCCTTCAGCATTGCCTAATCTGATAACGTTTAGATATTTTTGAATTAGTTGATAATCTTTTCAAGCTTAGAGCTTCCTAAATTATTTGAAATTTTTGGAGTTTTCAGTTTCTCCCATGCCTTGTGCATTCTGTCAAACTCTCAAAAAGGTATTGTGATTTTGTCCATTATGACGTGCCCACTGCTTCAGGTCTTAAACAGTTAAACACATAGGAATTAGGGGTGGATGGAATTAAGCAGAGAGCTAGGAAGGCTTAGGATTTCTAGGTCTGAAAATAGCATATTGAAACAAGTGGTCCACTAGGAAGAGAAAAAGCTATCTCCTGAATGAAATGTCTTCTATAATAGAGAAGGAATACAGGGGTTCCATGAGGTATGGTTGGTTTATAAGCAAGGAATACAGGGGTTCCATGAGGTATGGTTGGTTTATAAGCAAGGAATACAGGGGTTCCATGAGGTATGGTTGGTTTATAAGCAAGGAATACAGGGGTTCCATGAGGTATGGTTGGTTTATAAGCAAGGCAGGGTTGCTGGTGCCGGCTTAAAGACAACGCAGTGGCTGTTGATGCTGATGGGGAAAAGAAGACACGTAATTGAATAATAGCATAGAATCATGGGTTAGATTTCAATTTCTATTGGGGAAGCTTTTTAACTGTCATACTCATTTACAGCAATCACACACTTGGTGAAGTCTAAGTTGTGCTTTACATATGTCTTTCCTTTGAAAGTGCCTTCAACGGTTATCATGCACATCCATGTATGCCTTTAAGTCAGATTTTTTTTTTTCCTGTCTTGGGTGGAATTGAACATGGAAATTGAGTGATACCCGTGATTATATAATAAGCGAGTAAGGATTACCCTTGATTACAGTAAGGAAATAATGGAAACTAATGATTTCTTATTAGAACCAAGCACCCATCTATATAATTGTGAACCACCATTACTCCCATGACTAACACCATTCAATCCCCTTGGTCCATTTCTATGAAGAATTATCCACCTTAAACATAGAAAGGTATCCAACAGTGTTAGGCTTGGATCTTTTAGTTACTGTGGGGCCGGTTCTACCCTAAAATTGCATTGAACTATTTTGCAGAATCAAGCATTCTTGCTTTTGTCCAAGTTTTTTCATGGAGATATTTGAAGATGCAAAGCTAAAGCTTGTGGGTCCTATGGGAGATGCCTTCTCACTGTGAGAAATTTGTGAGGAAGTATTTAAAGCCCTTCCAATTTTTTCAAACAGCTCCATATGTAGCATATTGGAATTTCACTTTATTTTCTTTCGGAGGCTTGGTCCCTCATGGAAAAGGCTTCGATGATAATGGTGATGATGAGGCGTGAATCTTGTTTAGTGGGTAATACTTTTTCTTAGGTATGTTTTTGAACTTGGTCTTTTTTGAAGTTGTGTGCTAGCTGATTTTGTAGTTTGACCATATAAAGAAAAGTTAGTTGGAGCACAAGTTTAAAGCAG